AGCCATCCGTCTGCCTTTTCTAACCCAAATTCTCCACCTCGCATTTCTCATTCTCTCGTTTTCCCGTCTCATTTTTTTTTTAACCTCGAAAGTACAGTAGTGCATTCTCGCTGTGACAAGTCCAATAACACAGAAGCGTGTGTGGCCAAACTCGGCTGGAGGTGCTGCCAGTTTCGCGAACTAAGAGGCGTATTTGCAGTCTTCTTCCTTGTCTTTCTTTTTAAAATACTGACGTGGGATTTTTCCTCCACATAGGTGTCAGTTTGCAGTTTGTTTTATTTACATAATGATATGACATGGGCTTCCTTTGAAGTCATTACATATAGCTCTTCTTTTATCTTATTTTTTTAAAAGAGATTTTATTTATTTGCCAGAGAGAGCGAGCGAGTATAAGCAGGGGGAGGGGCAGAGGGAGAAGCAGACTCCCCACGGAGCAGGGAGCCCGACGTGGGGCTCGATCCCAGGACCCCGGGATCATGACTTGAGCCGAAGGCAGACCCTTAACGACTGAGCCACTCAGGCGCCCCCATTATTGCTCTCATTTTAAAACAATTTCATCATATCCCACAGCATGGACATGCCATTCTAGATTTGGCCGGACCTTTGGTAGGGAGCACTGGGGTTGTAGTCACATTTTTACTCTGTTTTATTTTTGTATTAATTCTGACATTTTTACTTCAGAAGGTGTGACTTCTAAAAGCAGGTTCATGGAAGCAGAGCGTGCATATTTTAGATTTTAATAGCTCCGTCCAGATGACTTACCTAGAAGGCACTGTCTCTTCACGTGTGGGCCGGCCTGCGCCCTTCGGCTCGTGACCACCCCCTCTCCAGTGTTTGGCGAGCTTCCAAAGGCCGAGAGTCCCACTGTTCCCGGCTTTGCCTTGCCCTGAGCCCCAGTGCAGGAGAGCGCATTTTCATGTGGATTTCGTGTTTGTATCCCGGGCGGGATGTCACCTATTGGTCCCCGGCCCGACACCGGCCATCCTCCACCCACCCCTACTGCACGGAGGCCGAAGCTGGAGTCTGCCTTTGCCGCCCACCCGTGGGTCCGGTGAGACTCGGGGTGGGGAAGGGAGGCTGTGGCCTCCTGCGGCAACAGCGTTGGCAGCGTTGGTCCTGGACTTTGTGGGCCCCCACCTGCCGCCTCCGCTCCTCCACACTGTCCCGTACCCCACACCGGTGCTGCGTTCCGTCTCCTGTTTGGAAGTCCCGGGGTGCTGTCCGCTCTCCTGGCTGGATGCAGACTGACACCTAACCTTTCCTCGCTTTGTCTGTGGTCACCTTTGACTATTTTGGAACAAGTTTTAGGGGCTCTGTTATTTGGGGCTCTCACTCCTCCTTTATCACATGTGTTGCAATTTTTTTCCTCTCTCTTCTTCTTTGGACTTTTTCCTGATGTCTTTTGTTAGATAGAAACATTAAATCTTGATATTGCACAGTCTTTTCTTCTATGGTGTCTGGGTTTTCTGTTCCTCCAATCCTGAGGTTATTCGAATTGTCTCCTTTTTCTTCTCACACGGTTGACAGGTTGCTTGTTTACATGGAAATCTTTAAGCCCCTCTAGGGAGAGTTGACATTTTTACAGTAGGTACATATTTCATCAAGGTGCTCGGTACGTCCAACCATGGTTCAAGTCTGGTTTTAAACTGCTGAGTAAAATTGTATACATCTCATAGAGCATGTACATTTCGTGTTAAGTTTCTTCCTAGACATCAGATAGTCTTGTCACATTTGTGACTGAAAAGATTCCCAACTTCTATTTTTCTATTTCTAGTCGCGTGTGTGTGTTTTAAGTAATTGGTCTCTGTGTAGTGTCTTAATCTGTTCAGGCAGCTGTAACACAGTACCGCAGGCTAGGCAGCTTAGAACAACGGAAATTTATTTGCTCACAGTTCTGGAGGCTAAGTCCAAGATCAAGATGCCCGCTGCCTCAGTCCCGGCGAGGGCCCTCCCCCTGGTTTGCAGGGCTGCCTTCCCGCCATGGGCCTGCCTGCTGGGGGCTGCAAGCTCTGGCGTTTTCTTCTTACAAGGGCGCTGATCCTGCTGTGGGGCCCCACCCCCCCAGCCTCACCTAAGCCTAACCATCCCCCCAACCTTCCCTCCAAACACTGTCACATTGGGGGCAGGGCCTCAACATATGAAGGGCGGGCACAGTTCCATCCCTAACAGTTAGCTTAAAACTAGCTACCTTACCAAATTCTCTAATCAGTTCTGATAGTTCTTTTGGCTGATATTCTTGGGATTTCAAATTATGCAATCATGTCACCTGAGTATAAAGAAAATTTTGTCTCCTCTCCCTAAGATTTTGTTTCCCTGCATTATTATTATTATTATTATTATTATTATTATTATTATTTTATTATTTCCTTAACTGAGAACTACAAAACCACGCAGAATAGTGATAGTAGCAGATGTTCATATCTTGTTCCTGGTTTAAATGTGGATGGTTTTAAGATTTCAATATGTAATATACTCATTGTCTGCATTTGATACATTGTCTTTATCAAACTGGGGGGTTCCCTTCCGTTTCTGTTGTACTTAGAATCTCTTATAGAATAGTGGCTGAACTGTTCAGATGTGTTGGGGGCCTATGGAGATTCCCGCACGGCTTCCCCTCTGTAAATCTGAGATCACCTTGGCTGGTGGGTTCCTGATGTGAGGCCTACCCGGTCAGGCAAATTATGCATTAGCACGCTGCTGGATCTGATTTCCTGTTATTTATATTCAAGTGGTGTACCTGTGTTGTGTTGGGACACTTTTGGCTCAAGCATCAGAAAGCCCAACTTGGAGTGACCGGCATGGAGAGGAGACTGGTTATACCAGCAAGCCAGAAGCCAGAGGAGAAGGGCCAGGATTCCCCGCCACCCTCAGTATGTCTGTGCTTTCTCCCTCGTCGCAAGATGACCACACAGTTCTTGGTGTTGCGCCCAATAATGACAGCATCCAAAGGTGGGGGGGCACGGTCTCCTCCCATGGGGCTCTCCCAAGCGTACCCTGAAGACTCCTCTCTTGACCCACTACATCCTCAGCCTCTGGGTGCAGATCAGTCCCTGGCGGAAGGCCTGCGGGGACCTCTGTAGATCACCGTGTCCTACAGGCGTCCGGGCAGTGAGTCTGTGTGTTGTGCCCAGGCATTGCTGTCCACTTAACGGCCCCGGCCTCTGACAGCACCCCCTCCCCATGGCCCCAACTCCCTCTGGTTATACAGCAGCAGTCTACACCTTCTGGGGCTGAGTCTGGCCATCCTTCCTTGGAGGATGTGGCTTCACAAAGGAAGTGGTCCCAGGAGCCAAATGAGACTACTGATGGGTGGGGCAAGTGGATGGGGCCAGGCCACCCACAAAGTCTGCAGCTTATGTTTGTTGATGGGAGCGATCCACGGCGTCTTGGGCCCTCTCTTCATCAGACCTGGCAAGTTAGCCTGGCGAGCTGGGTCGGGGACCAGCACCCCTTTGGTAACTTGGCCTGTTTGACTAGCGGGCAAAGCATGTGTTCCCGGCCAACTGGAGAGACTCGCCGCGTGCCTGTGAGAGTCCAGAGCCCCTTTCAGCCGTTCGGTCCATGGCTACTGGTCTGCTCCTGTCTTCTCCACTCTCTTGGGTCAACTTTGATCATTTAAGTCTTGATACAGAATCAACCATTTTCTCTACATCTTCCAGTTTACATTCATAATGCTTCCTGAGTCTGTAGAATCTCCCCGTGGCTTGCTTAATCCTCTTTTTCCTTAACATGGTGTATTTGTATCTTCCCTCTGAGACAGCCGCTACTCACGGTCACCCCAAACACATTCTTGTCTTCCCAGCTGACAGGAAGGAATCAGGGGGAATGTTGTGCTTTCCTCTCTGACACTTCTTTTCTCTTTTTCCTCCCTGAAACACAGAATTGAGGCCTGAGGAGAAGGAACCGGTCTCTATTACGAGGTGGGAAGCACAGGACAGGAGCCTGGGAGTGGGTACCCTGGGGCCACACGGCCTCCACCACCCACTTCTAAATGGTGGCCTGGGGACAAATAATAAACATCTCACTCCCTGTGGCTAAATTAGCCCCCAATGCCAATGCCTGGGCACAACACACAGACTCACTGCCCGGACGCCTGTAGGACACGGTGATCTACAGAGGTCCCCGCAGGCCTTCCGCCAGGGACTGATCTGCACCCAGAGTCCGGATCTCATGCAGTCAGAGGCCAGTCCTAGTTGATACAATCTCTTTTTTCACTCTCAAGGATTTATCAACTTTGTTTTTTCCCACTCAGCTTTTTTGCTATATGACTGATGCCAACTTTTAATCTTTAGTAATTTCCTCTTTGTACTTTCTTTTGATTTGGTGAAATTGTCATATATACACATATATGTATACACACACCTACGTATAGGCAGTAAACTCATCTAAGTTTACAGAATTGCCTTTGGTTTATTCCATACGTCTTATATAATGTTATTTACTTTCTAGTTATGTTTTAGGTATAGTTTGTGTTTCTTTCAATTCAAACCTTATTTTAGAAATATCTCCTCACTTCCAAATGGTTATATTTTCTGTTGCCAATTTCTAAACATTCACTCTCTAAAAAACAAGCTTTGGGATGGCTTTATTATTGAAGGTGCCCAGGTTCACCAACCACATACTTCTGCAAGAACTGCTTAGCAAAGCAGCAACCTCCCCCAGCCTGGCTGCCCCTCCCCAGGGGCAACCCCCTGTGACTCCTGGAGTTGGTGGGTTGTGGTATTGAATCCCACAGTTCTGAACAACATGCTTCTGCTTATGGAGCGCTGTTTCCTAATTTCGGGGTCACTCATTGACAGCCTCAGGAGGATGACGTGTCAGCATCTCTCCACCTCTCCCCTCCACTTGCCCTGTCTCCCTCCACCTTCACCTCTCCCCTCCTCCTAATAGAATCAAGTGATAATTGCCCTGAGGTCAAGATGCCAGGAGGACATCTGATTACATTATTACGGCTATGAAAAGGAATGCACAGCTGAGTCAGGTAATATTCTGTGATTACTTTTTATTTTCCCTGTCTTGTTTTGTTACTACTGTTGTGTCCGATGTTGTGTCCAAGGCAGGCCAGGAAGCTTAACTTACAGGGTTTAGCTCCGCGGACTGCAGGCCTCTGCGTGCATGTGGCAGGCGAGCGAGCCCCTGGCTCAGCACCGTGACACCGCAGGGACCCAGGCCGGTGGTTAGGATGGGAAGGCTGGAACTTCAGACGAATCTGATGAACATTGGCGTGGTTACTGCTTATGCACTGCTGTTTCTGCCCCTACAAAAGGTGTGTCGTTGGGTGAGGCGAGCCCCGCAGGAAATCTGAGTGTGTTCCGGAGCCACCCGGGACCCAGGGAAGTTATGGAGGGACCCGCGTGGAGGTCCATTGCTGGGACAGCCCTGCAGGCAGCGCAGGCTCTGGACAGAGTCTGATTCTGGAAGCAGGCCAGTTCTGCTGGCCAGGCTGGTCCTGGAGGCCAGGATGGTTCTACAAGTTGTTTGTGGAAGACGATTCTGCAAGCAGATGGCCGGGTCGGAAGCAAGGTTCTGGAAGCGAGTTCTGCCGGCGTGACAGTGGACCGCGCAGACGACACCCGGCCTGGGGCAGGGCCGAGCCTGCGTCTGCGAGCGAAGAGAGCGGGCATTGACGAAGGACTCGCACCAGCGCTCGCTCTAACACACCCGTTAAAAACCCCATTGCGAACATTTCTTCGGACAAGCTCCTGGGAGGGCCCTGTTGCCTGGGGGGGTGGGACCCAACGGCGCGGTGCAAGCTCGTGGAGTCGGCTCACGGAGCCGAGCACGCAAGCGCCGGGAAGGTCGGGCTGGCTGCGTTTGGGAGTTGCTTTTTTCCCTTTTTCTCTAACTTTCTTTTTTCTGTAACTTCTCCGCACGCTGAGCGGACGCCGCGGCGCATGCGCAGTCTGCGCCCCGCCCGGCCGCGCGGCGTCGGGCCGGGCGGTTGCCAGGGACGACCGCATTCCCTTGGGACTCCTCGGTCGCGTGGGCGGGGCCTGGCCGACCCAAGCCCGCCTTCCTCGCGCTCTGGTTGGCTCCGGCTGCTGTTCGTTGGAGCCGTCGCGGCCGCCGATTGGGCAAAGGCAAGTTTCGCACGCTCGGCTCGGCGCCACGCCCCTTCAGCCGGCCCGCGGCCGCCACCCGGGAGAGAACAGCGGGGGACCCGGCGCGGCGCCCGGGAGGGACCTGCGTCGGCCTCGGCTTCGAGGCGGGCACGGCCCGAGCGGCGGGCGGCGATGATCCCCGAGGAGAGGCCGGACGGCCCGGGAGCCGGCGAGGAGAGCGCGAGGCTGCAGGAGGCAGGCAGCGTTCGCAAGGTGGGCGCGTCCGCGGGGGCGGGGGTCTCCGGGAGGAGGGGTCCGGGACCCCCAGCCCGCTTTTGCCCGCCACCTGCCGCTGGCGGGCGCGGGGCTGCGGAGTCGGCGCTGGCTTCTCAGGTCTAAGCGTGCGGCAAGACTTCTGGCAGCCCCCCGCTTCACTCGCCCCTAGAGGCAAGCCGGGCTTACCTCTGGGGAAACTGAGGCTCGGTGCAGAGCGCGACCCCGCGTTGCGTGCCTGTGCTGGGCTTCCCTCTTGCGGGTTTGGGGCTCATCCTGTGCCGTCCAGGAATGGGTGGGAGCGCAAGTATAGCTCCGTTTGCTCCGCCGCTCCGGGGGGCGCTCCGGGGCCCCGTTCTAGGGCAGGTGTTGGGCTCTGGTGTGTGACAGCCCGTGGCCCTCGTGCTAGTTCCCGGAGCCCGTCATTCCTCCTTTCCCAGCTTTTCCCTCCCTGTCCCCAGAGCTGCTCAGTTTTGCCCTGGGCACCTGGCTCTGTATTTGATGAAACTTTCCGCCGCAGGCAGGCAGCTGGAGCCTCCCGGGAACAGGAAATGGCTGCAGGACTTCACAGCTGGGCAGTTTGTCCTTTTGTCACTCCCCACGCACCTCCTCCCCCTCTGAGGTCCCTAACCCTGGGGCGCCGACTAGGACTGTGGACCATTTCCAGGAGTACTGGGGAGGCTCTGCATAGGGCGGGGGGAGGTGGAGACCTGGGGAGTCTGTGCTGGGAAGGAGGGGGCTGCCCCTCTCTGCAGCCTGGAGCTTAGGCGTTCCCTGGGGGTCACCAAGAGGCCAACCCCGTGTTCATACCAGGCCCATGAGGGGTGCTACAGGGTTCAGAGTAGCTTCTGGCTCGGAGACTGCAGGTCTCCCCCTTCCAGCACATCTCTCCAGGAGCACTGGACATCGGAGACCAGATAAACGGTGTTGATGAAGACAGCCCTGCTTAGCTGATGTTCTCTGCCCAGCACATGGACCACCCCCCTCCCCGGGCAGATGGACATGGCTGCTGGCCCAGAGCCTGCTGGAGCTTTGCAGTTGGACCTCCAGAAGGGAGAGACGTAGCTTGGGCTGTGGCCTGCTCCTCCCTCCCCAGGTTCTCAGGCCTCCTGGAGGGGACACTGCCCAGGGAGGTCTTCCCTGATTGATCTCTCTTGAGAACGCTGGAGTTTGGGGAAGATGTTGAGTCATAATCGAAGGTGGCCATGCCCCAGGAGCCTTCAATGTGGGAGGGTGTGAGGGCTTCTTTAAGGTGCCCTCTTAGAGGGACTGGGACAAGATCTAGCCCCCAAAGGGTCTGAAACTTCCCTGTGCCTGAGAGTGGTGGGGGGGCACGCCAAGGAAAATAGACCACATTTCCTCCAATATGTGGAAGATGGTGGACACTGCAGGAGGCTGGCCTCAGCACTGTGTGAGGACAACTTCCTGTCCCTGCATCAGGACAGGGAGACACTGGCCTCATCCCCACTGTGTGACCATCTTTGGGGATGTTGCCCAGGGAAGGTGCATTCTGAGAAGTTCTTCCTGGCTCCAGGGCTGGTGACTGTCCCAAACAGAAGGTCCCTAAATGGCTAGGAGGAGGCGTGGGGGCCTGGGGCCCGAGAGCTGCTCCAGCTCCCGGGCCTTGTTCCTACCAAAGCCCTTCACCTCCCCTGGCTGGAGCCTCCAGTCACCCGTCTGCAGCATCACTGTAGCTAGGGGCCCTCACATCTCTGCTTTCACTGCCTCATGGCTCTCCTACCCCGGGGCCCCGAGATGTGGGCAGCTAGCAGGATTGCCCCATACAATGAAGAACCATGGCTGAGGTGGGCAGTGGGCAGTCAGAGCGCCTGACCTGCTGCCTATGAGCTGAGTGGCCCTGGGCCTATGGTTTGAGCATTTGCCCAAAGGGACCCCACAAGTAAATAGCTAGCTGGGATTGAGCCCATCCCAGGGTCAACGTGGGCCGAGCACCCCAGAACATCCAGCACCCTGTAGGCAGGCCCCTTTCCGTTAGCACCTTGGCAAAAGCTGGGCTAGGTCATCCCCGCATGGCCATGCCTAAGCTCATGCTAGAATTGTGTGGGTTGAGTGGATTATGGGGGTTATGGATTATGGGGGTTATGGAATGAAATTCAAAAGTGCAGAAGGGGGGCGTCTGGGTGACTCAGTTGCTTAAGCACCCAACTCTTGATTTCAGCTCAGGTCATGATCTCAGGGTCGTGAGATCAAGTCCTGCTTCAGGCTCTACACTCAGCAGGGAGTCTGCTTGAGATTTTTCTCTCTCTTCCTCTGCCCCTTCCCCCCCACCATGCGTGCGTGCAAGCACTCTCTTTCTCTCTCTGTCAAATAAATATTTGTTAAAAAGATTTTACTTGAGAGGGAGAGCATGTGCACAAGCCGGGGGAGCAGCAGAGGGAGAGGGAGAAGCAGGTTCTCCACTGAGCAGGGAGCCCGATGCGGGGCTTGATCCCAGGACCCTGGGATCGTGACCTGAGCCAAAGGCAGACGCTTCACCAACTGAGCCACCCAGGTGTCCCAATAAATAAGTCTTTTTAAAAAAAGTGCAAAAGGTTGTGTGGTGAGCAGTTGGCCACCTCCTGCCCGGGGCTCCCAGAGCTCCATCGCACTGGTGCCGGCCCCACAGAATGGGGGCCACAGTCCCAGCCATGTTCCCCACCTGCTATGCTCTTCCTGGCCGTCTCCCCTCCTGTGCTCGCGCACCCAGCTAGGCCTGAGCTGCCCCGCTGCTCTCTGTGGAGCTGGCTCAGGTTCCACTGTGGGGACCGCGCCTTTCCCACCTGCGAGAGTCTCCTGGCACTTGGGAGCTGTTGGCAGAGGCCTGGCCCGGGCCCTGTGACCTGCAGCCTCTCCACAGGGCTCTGACCCCCTGGCCCAGACACCACGTGGCCACCCGCAGAGCCGCAGGGCCCGGGTCCACCAGCAGATCACCAAGGAGCTGCGGATGCGAACGGGTGCTGAGAACCTCTATAGGTGAGTGCCGGTGGCCACCCCCATCCCTCAGGAGAGTGGTGCCACTGTCCCCTGAGGCCCTCTGCAAGGCCGGCCCGTGCTGTGACCCAGGTCGGTGCCCGTTCTTGTGGTCTGGTTTGGGAGAGGGACACGTGAGCGGCCATTGCAGGCTCCCAGGAGGAGGGGCTGGGCCTCTCACCGGGCTCTGGGGCAGCGTTCACCTGAAACCCTCACAGACCACCCGGGCTCCTACCTTGGTGGACCTCACTGGTAGGGGTCAGCTCAGGGTCAGCCAAGGGCCATGTGGGGCTGGAGGGGGCTGGTGTGCGGTGTGGGAGCCTCTGATTTGTATGTGGTGACCTGCAGGCACCGTTTAGGCTGAGCTGTGACAGGTATCTCAAGATTGGGGACCCGGGAAAGTGTCCTCCGGGCTGAAGGGATGCCTCTCTGTTAGAACAGTGAGCTGCACATCTGCTCAGACCTTCACCCATGTCTCCATGAGCCCACTCTGTGGGTGGTGGCCCAGGAAGACGGTCCGACCTGTCAGAGCCCCAGCCACCGTGTGCAGAGCCAGCCGACGGGTTCTGGGATGGGGGTCTGCGGGGCCCAAGGGGCTCCTCCGTTTCCTTAGCCATCCTGCATCCCTGTCCAGCCCATCCCTGCTCTCAGCCTGGCCTTCCTGGGGACCCATCGCCCCTTCTGTCAGGTGCCCAGATGTAGGCACAGAGAGGGTCTGACCCCCACCTTTCCAGGAAAGCTGGTTTTGTGTTGCTCTGGAGGCCTGCGTCCAGGGAGAGCGGTGGTGGGAGGCGAGCGACCGTGGCCTGGAAGGTCTGGGTCTGGGTTGATGTGCCCTGGGCCAGAGGCACCGTCTGTATGCGTGGACAGGAATCGACACCAACTGTAGGGGGACTCAGAGGAGAAGAGGGACGTCATAGGGTGGGCCCTGGCCCCAGTGCTGCCCCCCACGGGGGCTGGGCCTGTGAGCACAGCATGCTGCGAGGGGCCTCTGGAGCCCAGGCCAGGGCAAGGGCTGTGGCGAGGCCCAGGTGCGTGCAGTCTTGCCTGCAGAGCTCGGGCTTCAACTCACCTTGGCCTCCCCCAGAGCCACCAGCAACGCCTGGGTCAGGGAGACAGTGGCCCTGGAGCTGAGCTACGTCAACTCCAGCCTGCAGTTGCTGAAGGAGGAGCTGGAGGAGCTCAACGGCAGCAGCGTGGAGGCTGACCGGCCCGAGGGGTGCGTGTGCGCGTGTACGTGTGTGCATGTGGGACCGTGGAATCCAGGTCAGAGGCTGAGGGGGTGCACGCGTGTGAGGACACCATCCAGAGCAGCGTCTGTGTGCTGTGGGCTGTGTGTGCAAGACGCGTATCCGAGTCGGAGGAAAGGGGTTACGTGTAGGTGGGGAAGTAGGGAGTGGCCCTGGGGACAGCAGGGTCCAACCTCAGAGTCTGGGCTCCGTGGCTCTGGTTCCAGCGAAGGTATCACTGTCCCTATGATCCCCCTGGGGCTGAAGGAGACCAAGGAGCTGGACTGGTCCACACCACTGAAGGTAAGTGCTGACCTATGACCCTGGGGTCACACCCTGCCCTGGGGTCTGCAGGGATCTTGGAGGCTTCCCGGTCCAGCCATTTCATTGAACAGATGAGGAAAGGGGCCCAGAGGGAGGAAGAGCTTGCCTGGCTATAGGAGCTTCTGGTTGGGTGGACTTTGGAGAAGAGCCCCCACCGTGGGGTAGGCTGGCAGAGCTGGTCATCCTGCTGGAAGCCTGAGATGGCGACAGGGTTCCCAGGGTTCCCTGACCCTCGCTCTGAGAATCCCACCGGCTGGGGGCCCCTGCAGTGCTGCGGACATCTCCTTGGGGTTCGTGAGCTAGGCTGCCTGGGGACGGCTGCCCAGCAGGCACCTCGCCTGTCAGGTGGCAGAGAGCACCTGCTTTACAGGGGTTAGCGGAGGCTTCTGTACCCCTGAACCCCATGTCTGCGGGTCAGGGACCTCCCCACCCCACCCCACACCAGTCCTTAGCCCTTCTCCAGGGGCCTGGGGCTTCCCTTCCGGTCCCTGTCTTTGCCTGCGTGGGGCTGGGTGACCAGAGAAGGCCGGCACCTGCCCCTCCCCCAACCAGGAGCTGATCTCTGGGCACTTTGGAGAGGACAGTGCCTCCTATGAGGCCGAAATCAAGGAGCTGGGAGACCTGCGGCAGGTGGGTGGACTCCCCTCCCCTCCCCTCCCTGCCCTGCCACACCTGGGAGACCAGCCACTCCCAGTTCACAAATAAGGGCAACTGAGGCTCAGTCAGGAACAGAAAAAAGGAGCTGAGCATAGGCCTTCAGAGGGCGGGAGGACCCACCTGGGGCAGCTCTGGGGACAGCGGAGAGACAGGCACACACGCAGGGCACGCGACGGCTCTGTGCATGCTAGGGAAGCTCTGTCCTCACCACCTTCTGCGGGCCCTTTGGGAATGGCTGCTGTGGGCCGATCCCCTCCCAGGGGCCCTGCCTGGGCCTCTCCCTGTGCTCTTCACAGGCTCCATGCCCAGGATGGGGCCCACGACAGCCCCAGAGACAGCCGATGTGACAGCCCCAGAGACGGCCGATGTGCGTCAGCGTGACCTTGTCTCCCCCCAGACCCTGGAGCGCTCCTGTGGGGCTCTGACGTCCGAGGGGGCTCCCTGAAGGGGGGTGTGTGTGTGCCATGGGCTGGGCCTGGGGTGCTGGGGCCCAGCTGGTGCCTACCCTGCAGGCCATTCGGACCCCCAGCCGGAGTGAGGCGGGCCTGGAACTGCTCATGGCCTACTACACCCAGCTCTGCTTCCTGGACGCGCGCTTCGTCGCCCCTCCCGGGAACCTCGGGCTACTCTTCCACTGGTAGGGGGTGTCCGTGGTTCCACCCACAGCTCCCCAGAGCCCTTTCTGAGACTCCCGGCTGCTTGCTGTGGGAGCGCCACCCAGCCTAACCCAACCCACAGGTACGACTCGCTCACGGGCGTCCCGGCCCAGCAGCGGGCCCTGGCCTTCGAGAAGGGCAGCGTGCTTTTCAACATCGGGGCCCTCCACACCCAGATCGGGGCTCGCCAGGACCGCTCCTGCCCCGAGGGCACCAGGCGCGCCGTGGAGGCCTTTCAGAAGGCTGCTGGTGAGGGCCGCCCAGACCCCACAGCCGCAGTTAGGGTGCATGCATCTGCATGTCTGGGGCCAGAGCTGGGGCGAGGCCGGTGGGATGGCTCCCAGTGTGAGGGGATCCCCCTTCCTGGGGAATGCGGGGCTGTGGGGGTGCGGCCGGGCCGCCCTGCCCACCTGCTGTGAGCACCCCTCCGCAGGGGCCTTCAGCCTCCTGAGGGAGAACTTTTCCCGAGCACCCAGCCCTGACATGAGCCCGGCCTCGCTCTCCATGCTGGAGGGACTCATGACTGCCCAGGCCCAAGAGTGCATCTTTGAGGGTCTCTTGCTGCCGTCTCCTGAAGCCCCCCAGGATTGCCTGGCCCAGCTACGCCTGGCTCAGGAGGCAGCCCAGGTGAGGACAGGGAGCGCTTGTCCCACGGGAGACCTGGCCAAGCCGTGGTGGCTGGGTGAGCAGGAGGGCCTGGATCGGAGGTCCATGCAGGGAGGGGTGGGGTGCAGTGGCTGGGTCTCCTGGTAGTTCTCAAAGCCAGCTGTTGTCCTGGTCTCTGGGGCTGGTCCTGAGTCCTTGCCCCTGGGGCAGCACCAATCAGAGCAGAAACGGGCCCAGAGCCCTGAGCTTGGCTCAGCGCAGGGTGTGGGGCGGGGCCCCTGGGCCTTGGTCGGGGCAGCTAGAGGCCAGGCCCCAGTGGGGAAGGGCAGGGGCTGAGGCTGCTGGGCTCATCCTGGAGACCTCAGTGTCCCACCACGTGCGCTGGCAGGTGGCAGCTGAGTACAGGCAGGTGCACCGGACCATGACCCAGCCACCTGTCCGAGACTACGTGCCCTTCCCCTGGACCACCCTGGTGCACGTCAAGGCGGAGTACTTCTGCGCCCTGGCCCACTACCACGCGGCCGTGGCCCTCTGCGACAGCCCCCGTGAGTGCCCTGGCCCGCCCGTGCTGGCACAGGCCCTGGCGTGGAGGGGCTCACGGCCCTCTCTGACCCCAGCAGCAGCCGAGGAGGACTCCCCAGTGCTACCGCAGGCCTTCCTTGGGCCCCCGGCCACGTCGGAGGCGCGGGGCGCCGTGCTGCCTCAGGAGCAGGAGGAGCGCAGGAATCTGGGTGAGGCGGCCTCGTGGGGAGGGTGCCTGCTGAGGGGGACGGAGCGCCCCGTCCTTCGCAAGGCGATAGCCTGGGCGTGTGCGGGCGCTCCCGGGATGCAGCCCTTCCCTGGCCCAGCCTTCCACACGTGGCCGCTCCTCGTAGCGCGGCCAGCAGGCCCTCAGGGTGGACCCAGAAGCCCTCACCTGTCCAGGGGTGGGGGAAGCTGGGGTTTGGCCCGGGCCAGGTGGGCTTAGGGCCCTGCACCCCGCGAAGCACAGGACGCCATGTCCCCGCTCCGTCCCGCGCAGGCAAGGCCCACCTGAAGCGCAGCATCCTGGGCCAGGAGGAGGCGCTGCGGCTGCATGCCGTGTGCCGGGCCCTGCGCAGGGTGGACCTGCTGCAGGCTGTGCTGGCCCAGGCGCTGCAGCGTTCGCTGGCCAAGTACTCGGAGCTCGACCGCGAGGACGACTTCTTGGAGACCGCTGAGGCTCCTGACATCCAGCGTGAGCTGCCCGGCCCCTCGGGACGCGTGTGTCCAGCCTGCGGGCGTCCGTGGGCTGAGGCCCCGTCGCTGCCCTTAAAGCCCATGGAGCCGTGGGCCTTGAAGGAGCCGAGCCCCTGGGAGGAGCCCAGTGGGCCTGCTCCCTTGCTGTTCCCTGTCTCGCCATCCCTGAGGCCGGTTCCTGCCCCAGGAGGCTGCCAGCCGTGGCCGGGGAGGCAGATTTCCACAGGCCAGCCACCCGGCATCCCCTGCTTTGCAGGAGCTGGCAGGCGCGGCTGGAGAGGGGCCCCCCCCCGGGTGGGGGGCGCACCCAGGCCCCAGAGGGCTGCAGGGGGGCCGGTATGCATCGAGCAGGCTGTTCCTTGGGCCACACACTCTGCTCTGGCTGACCCAGGTCCTGGCTGCATCTGGGGGCCTGAGCATCCATGAGCCTCAGGCTTAGGTCTGTCCTCCCTTTACCTTTGTCCTTTTAGCTAAAACACAGCAGAAGCCAGAGATCAGGGCGCCCAGCTTCTCCAGGGTGAAGGTGACCGATATCTTCCAGCGGCTGGTGAGCAGCCCCTGCCCAGGTCACCCTCCCCACCTCAGCACAGGCGGGCTGAGGCAGGTGGCCCAGCCCTGCCCAGTCCCTTTGCGGCACCTGGTTTCTGACCCCGGGGGGAGGTGCTGCGGCCGCCCAGCGGCAGCTGACCCCCCTTCGCCCCCCCTCCCAGGGGCCCCTGTCAGTGTTTTCGGCCAAGAACCACTGGCGGCTGGCCGGGCCTGTGCGCGTGACCCGCGGAGAGGCCGGCTTTGGGCTCACGCTGCGCGGAGACGCGCCTGTCCTCGTTGCCGCTGTCATCCCCGGGGGCCCGGCCGCGGTAAGGCCCCTGCCCCACCCCGGGGCAGCTTTCATGAAGGCGGCAGCGGGGCCCCTGGGCAGAAGTGGCGGGTGCCCACACGGGACTCCCAGACCTCCCCTGTCTCCCTGCAGGCAGCCGGCCTGCAGGAGGGCGACTACATCGTGTCCCTGAACGGGCAGCCCTGCAAGTGGTGGAGGCACGCCGAGGTGGTGGCGCAGCTGAAGGGCGTGGGTAACGAGGGTGTGAGCCTGCAGGTGGTCACGCTGCTGCCCCGGGCGGAGCCCCCCGGCCCGGTGAGCCTGCGGGGCCCCAACATCCCCAGATGCCCAGAGGGCGTGGGGAAGAGGAGGCTGCATGCACCTGGGCGACCCCCGCAGGGGTGGCTTCCTGGGCGGCAGCCGCCTGCCCCGTGGCCCCCGCCGCCCTGGCAGCGGCCCCTGCCCTCCGCGGGCCTCTGTGTGCCCACGCCCCTGGACACTTGGGGTCGAGGCGCTGCTGTAAGAGCTGTTTCATGGCCGTCACCCGCCCCGACGTGGCACCCAGTCCTCACGGGACCCCCGGCTCGCCCCTGACGGGCCAGCCACCACCTCCCTGGTCACTCCCCGGCTGGCCACGGGTGGGCCGGGCCAGGGGTGCTGACTGACTCCTTTCTATCCCGGCTGCAGGGGCACCACCGGCCAGCCCTGGGAGGGCTTCTGAGGATCCAGAAGGAGTGTGGGTGGGGGACACCAGCTCCTGCACGAGCCAGCCCCAGGCGCTTCCTTGGCTGGAGCCGCAAGGCCAAGAGGGGCAAGACCACAGGGAGGCTGTCCCCTCAGCCCTGAGCCGCGTGCCACCCTCCCCCTCTGGGATCCCAGCGCCCCCACACCCCCAGTACGTCCTCCTCCGTCCTGAGGCACTTTCAGGCCAGTTGGCTGCCCCCCACCCCGTGCCCAGAGCTGCCCATTAAAGACCACGTCACATGAGGTGTGTGAGCCCAGTGCTGTACCCACGCACGGGAAGTGTCACAGGTGCTCTGGGCACCGAGCCCCAGATGCCAGAATGCTGCCTCGGGGCTGCCCAGGCCTCACACACGCCCCAAGTGCCCACCTGGGGAGGGCAGCCCCCAGCTGAAGGGGCAGGGCCGGGTAGTATGTCGGCAGTGGGCCCCTGCAGCCCACATACCCCCCCTCCCCCTGCCCCTGAACAGACCACACCCTGGCCACACCCCTCCTCAGGGCCGGTCCGCCCCAAGCCACGCTGGGCCCTCCACTGGCCCAGCCCTCCCGGCACCCCAGGGGCCCGACGGCGCTCTGGGGTGCCTACCACACCCGCACCGCCTGCCCTCTGGGCACTGTCCCAGCTAGGCCCACCCCGCCACGCCTTTTGCTGTCACCTCTGCTTCAGTCCTTGCGGTCCCCCCATCCCGCCGGACTCCCAGCCCCGCGGCTGCTGTCCAGGCCTCCTCTGTGCTGCCCGCCAGGCCTGGCCCCGCCCCCCCCTCAGTTCGCCCGGGCGGGGCCCTGGGTCTGCAGAGGGCTGGCGGCGCGGGGGTGGGCAGGGGAGAAGCCCCGGGGAGCGGCGGGCGGGGCTGGGGGCCGGGCTTGCCGGGAGTCCGCGTGGCCACCAGGGGGCGGTGCTGCCCGCGCCAGCGGCGGCTGGAGGCGGCGTTTGGGGGCGGGGGCGGGTCGGCCGCAGGCGAGGGCGAGCGCGGGAGCCCAGCTGCGAGCCGGGCCCCGCCTCTCCTTGCACCCTCGCCCGGTCCCCTCTGCGGGAGCAGTGCTGTGCTGGTCCCCGCCGTCCCGCCGCGGTGTTCACCGCAGGGCGGGCTGAGCAGGGGTGGCGCCGGGGAGGGCAGCCTTCTGGAGGAGGGCAGGGCTCCCCGCCTGCCCGAGCCTGGGCCCCTGGGCCGAGGGCGGCCAGGTGCGTCCCTTCCGACCCGCCTGCCCCTCCTGCGAGACCGCCCCTCTCAGCAGAACCGGTCAAGGTCACCTCAGCACTTACTAACTCGATTAATAGAACTGTGCGTCTCGGAGGCCATTACCTGTTAATCAGGGATGACGGGGCTGGCAGGTCTCGCCCAGGAGGGAGCTGCGACTCCCGTACCTCTGGCGGCCAGTCTGGACCCAAGAGGGGCACGTGGGCTGGGGTCAGAAGCTGCCGCCCATCTCTTGCACGCGGCTGGTGGGGAGGGGGCCCTTGGCAGAGACCCGACGGCCCCGGGCCAGAGCCCATGGTGCCCGCCCTCGGCCTCCAGCCCCTGTGCCTGGGGCTCCTCACAGCTGGGGCCGCTGGGGCTGGGACCAGGCTCCCTCTCCCAAAGAGGGGTCAGGGCAGCCTGCACTTAGAGCTCCCCAGTGGGGTCTCCGAGGCCCCGCTGCCAAGGTGCTGCCCCCTGGGTTGGGTGCTCCTAGGGTCAAGCTCTGGGCTGCAGGAGGCACTGCTGGGCCCACCCTTCACCCCAGGCTGGGCAGGGACAGACATCAAGTGGAGTCTCACCTCTCCCGGCCCCGGCCCCGGCTTCGACAAACCCCTTTTCCAGAGAGGAAAGTGGGTGGTGAGCGATGCAGGGCCAGCTGGGAGGCTCAGCCCGCACGTCCCGGCCACGTGAGAAGCCTGCCAGTGTCTTTCTGCACTCTGAGAAGGGGTGTCACTCTGCATCCACCCACACCTCGGCAGGCAGGAACCGACCACCCTGTCCCCCCCGCCAGTATTTCCCCAGGCCACCCAGGCAGCTGAGCCAGAAGCAAGTGGAACCCCAGGCCAGCTCTAGGAGCCCTTGGGAATGAGGTCAAGGACCGAGCAGAACCCACAGCTCTGCCCCCGTGGTCAGTCCTCGCCTGCACCCCACCCGGGTGGCTTTGGCAGGGACACGGAGGGTGAGCCCTCGGCAAGCCTGCCTGAGAACGTGGCAGCTCAGCAGCAACACACGAGGCCCTGGGGCTGTCCAGGGCTGCTGGCGGTGCGGTCAGGCGCAGGAGAGCCCGCCGTAACCAAGGCCTTTCTCAGACGGAGCGGCTGTCCGCACGCCCATAGGTGTGCCTGCCCGGCCATCCGCTCTGCTCCGCGGTGTGTGGGGAGCCCACCCGCCCCACGCGTGCCCCTGCCTGTGCTCTCTGGCCTTCTCGGTCCTGCTGGAACCTTCTCGGCCTTCCTCAGCTATGGCCACACCTCATGGTGCGGGCTCTAGCCCCGCTTTCTGGCTCAACCACGTCACCTACGTCTGTGTCACAGACGGGCCACGGGCAGGGACCACGCCATCTCTTCTACAAGTTCCATGAATACCTGGGAAAATTCAGGGACCTGGTGGGAGTGTCCCACATGTGTGCCCCAGGGGGGATCAGCACCCCGCCTCTCTCCCGGGCACCCAGAGCAGGGCATGTGGGCGCGGACGGCCCCGTGTGCCCACGCAGGGACATCTCATTTCCCAGAGGGTCCCCCCAGGCAGGGAGATCGGGGGTGAGTGCGCGCTGTGATCCTTTTTGCTTTGCCAACAGAAAACTGCCGAGAGGGGGAAAGGCAAACTCCGTTTTGCTTGGGTCAGCAGTGAGCCTCGCAGAGATTAATGTGAGGAGAGGCACGGCGGCAGCGAGCCCTGGCTGCGTGGGAGGTGCGGGCTGGGATGGCACGGGGTCGGGGCGGGGCCCCATCGTCCACACCAGAGAGCTGGGGGCAGAGGGCGAGGGCCGCAGGGTGGGGGACCCCTTCCCTCCGCTCCCCTGTCCCTCCCCACTCACTCTTCTCCATGACCCAGCTCACCCCACCCCCACCGCCTCAGCTTGGGCGCCTCCGTGGCAGCCTCAGTGGGCCCCCCATCCCCTCAGAGGTGGGGTTGGCCCGGGAGCCTCCAAAGCTGGGCCTGGATCAGTGCCACACCCCAGCCAGAAGAAAGCCAGATAGAGGGTGGCCTCCCCACCCTCGCCCCATTGGACCCTGACCCCTGGGCTGAGGACACGGGAGGCGGCACTTGGGGAGCCCACCATCGGTTCATAAGGTGGTGAGATGTTCTGAAAGCTATGTGGGGACCAGCCCACCCCAGAAGTGGGGTGTGTGGGAGGTGGTAAGTGCGAGAAGCAGCAGGAGAGCCAAGTTCACGCAGCCCTGCCCGGGAGGCTGGGTTAGAGGTCTGTGGCGCAGGTGGCCCCAGGGCCAGGAGGCGGAGCCCCAGAGTCAGCTCGTCCTTCCGTAGAGGCCTGAGCCCAGTGAGCCCAAGGCCGCTGCGCTGCCCCAGGCAGGGCCTTTGATGGAGAAGCTGCCCTCAGCCGAACTTGCTCCCTGACCTCAGTGACTCAAGAGTGACCCCCAAGAGAAACGTCCACCTGGAACCTGCGAACTTGTTTGGAAAAAGTCTTTGCAGTGTAATTGAATAAAGGATCTGCGGAGGAGTTCATCCCGATGACGCAGACGGGCCCTAAGCCCCGGGATGCATGTCCCGTAGGAGGCAGAAGGGGGGAACCGTGTGGAGTTGGGGGCAGAGGCTGCAGTCCCCAGAAGCTGGAAGGGACAGGACCGTGGGGCCCGCAGACCCTGACTTCAGACTTCTGGCTCCAGAACTGGGGGGAACACGTTTCTGCTGTTGTAAAGCCTCCAGGGTATGGTCATTTATTAGATCGGCCACAGGAAGCTGGGACAGCAACCTCACACACATCCTCGCGCTTCCGAGCCTCGGTGTGTCCTTCTGTAGGATAGGACATGACCCACGTTGGATGCTGGGCTCTGCCCAGGAGAAACACACCCCACACCTGGAATGCCCACCTACCCCGGGGTGCTGAGAACAATGGCCCGAACATGGGCATTTGGGGCTGTCCAACTGGAAACGGAGGGAAGGAGGCAGCCATGGACCCACCCTGCTGCACTGCGCGCCTCCCTCGTCCTCAGAGCACGCAGCCCACAGCCTTCCGTGGCTGGCTCCCAGGAGGCTATGGGGCTTCGGGCTATCTCACCACCTCGCAGACAGCCTGGTCCCTGCAGTGCCGCTTCCTGTGGCCTCAGAGGGTCAAGGGTGGGAGAGGTCACTGCTTATCGGGCTTCCTTCTGGCTGGGGTGTGGCACTGATCCAGGCCCTGCTGGAGGCTCCCGGGCCAACCCCGCCTGTTGGGGGATCGAGGCTGGCACAGAGGGGCCTGGGCTGGGCGGCTACGGGTACGAGGCGCAGGCATGGTGCGGGGGGACAAGGGAGAAGCCGGTCTTCAGCGTGGTGCTCCCCGTGGCTGCTGAGGCCATGGCCCAGGACTGTGCAGTCACTTGGGGCCTGTGTGAGCCACATCAGCACCTCAGGACAGCCAACCAACCCTCTGGCTGTGTGTTAGGGGTATGGGGCCTGGGGGGCTGCCCAGGTTCAGCCCAGGGCCCCTGCCATGCACAGAGCCCCGCGGCCCCATCCCCTCAAGCTTCACTTTCTTGCTCCGTGGCCAGGGGTCTGTGCACTCACCTGGCATACAGGTGAGTTGACCTCACCCAACTCCCACGTGGGCAGACAGACCCATCTGGGACCGTCTAAGGAAGGGGAGCAGAGGTGCTAACGGAGCTAATGGGGCACGTGGCCCAGGTCGAGATCTGAGTGCTCTGATACGGGGGGGAGTGGTACAGGGGCTTCCAGGGTAGATAGGAATTTTCGCTGGTCCATGTGGCCACTAGCTAGAGGATGAAGGACGGGGATGCGTCAGGAGGGGCCTGGGCCCCCCGGGGAGGCGCCGGCTCAGTGCCGCTATCCCAGCAGGGTGAGGGTGGGCCTGGCCAGGGCAGAACGTACGTGGGCCAGAGAGCGTTGGGTTTTGTCCCTACTGTCCACTGGGTGCCTCCATTTCCCAGGCCGAGGAGGGGACAGGGTGAAGGGCTGACTCCAGCTTCCCTGAGCGACCTCCAGCCCAGCCCTGTCTCTCTGTGGCCAGCTGCCTCCTGGTGTGAGGGAGAGGAGAGGGAGCTCCAGGGCACTGCCCTGAGACACACCATCAGGGCCACCAGGAAGCCACAGTCCTCTGGGGAC